GGGTCTAGGTGGGAAAATCTAGACCCCTTTCAATATTGATTTCAGCCAATCAAATTCGTGAACTCGGTAGTTCCCATTCCTTGTGAGACACAGCCATATAATAATGAATACTAAAAGACACCATACCCTTGAGAACTCAGAAGTGGAGTTCCGCTGCCTATCAATGGATTGTGAATTGAGACACAGTAGAAGGAACGTCAGAATCAAAGTGAACGATGTGTATATAAAGGCCGCCAGGTAAAAGTACTTCAATCTCAAAGATAACCTTTAAAATACGAAACAGACTGGTCATCATACGACATCAGCTAATTTCATCAGATATCGATTTATGCTTGCACGCGATCGGCTTAAACACCTCACGTGACAGAATATGATTTCTGAATAGAATTTTTTCCATTTTCATTTTCTCAGCTTTAAATTTCTTTTCAATCGAGGGGAGCGTAATAAGGTTAATACAAAATACCAAAAACAAAACCGACTCTTTACTGTTCACCCTTGGGGATCGCTAAGTAAAGTAAAGATACCTCGTACAAAACTTTTTTCTCAAGGCAACCTTTCCATAGACGCACCTTAGTACTGCGTATTTTGACTTTGATAATTTCTGGAAGTCTTGCATTTGTTAATCAGTATAGGGGAGGCTATCATTTCTCTTTACCTTTTCACTTTCATGAGTTCTCGAGTCAAAGGATGAAGAATCAGATCACGGTGACCGTGTTTTAACATAAGCTGCAAGAAAACGAACATCTTAAATCAAAAACAAGTGACATGATCGTCCTATTGAATCGCGGATAAGAGCTTATTATTCTTTGGTGAAGCTCATTTGTCAATTAAGATAGGTTGTCAAGTGTCCACGCTCACGGCACTTGTTACAATATGTACATACCTTAGGTCCAAAGTACCGCTCTCCTGTCTTTGTTTGTTCTCCGGGAATAGGGTCAAGAAAAGTAAAATTGAATGATTTCTAAAGGAAAAGAAAAAACAAACAGTGGATAATAGCAAGATAGGGTTTTGTGAAATGGGTAGATGATACTCTAAACTTTTTTTTTGACACACACATGTAAAACCTTACACAAAGCTTACCGAATATTCTACATCTGTTCTCATGTGATCAGATGTCTTGATGCACTTGACCATTACCACCTGAGGGATGCAAGAAAATAAATACACATTTATTTGCGAGAATATTGTTAACTAAAATCATTTGGGAAAAAATTTGATCACATACTAACAAGGGACCATAAATTTTGGACTTAAAAAGCCTTTTGCGTAGAGGAGCTAGTTTCAAGAGGAACGAATGTGTTATTTTTTTCGTAAACAAAGAGGTATCGTGCTGATGATTTATGACTAATGGTGTATGCTTTTGCCGTGTAGAAATTATTTGATAAGGATTACATAACCTTCCGAAAATGTCTCTTCATTTGATCACATTTGAACGCAAAGCCGTAATGACTCAGACCCTATCCTCGGTCTTGATCATCCCTAAGGTTCGAAACTGACAGTCCACGGAAAAGTTAACGCTAAAAGATATGTCAGTTTAGTATTTACGTGTAAATTTTCAGTACCTTGGCTACTTCGGGAAATTTCACGATGAGATGTTTCATCATACAAAATCCTTCGTCGTCCTTGACTTCAACACATTCTTTCCAGCTGATTCAGTTGAACAAAAAATCAAAATATCAATGACTCGAGTGGCGAATTATCTTATTACCGGTGCACTATGATATTATTGAAAATCGACGAGTAAAGCTGATCCCATGTTCTGCCCTTCCTCCTCTTTCATTAGAAGAGTTCCTTGCGATCTCTCTTAAAATTTTGTAAAAAAACTATAAGCCATTGGGTGAGACACTTTACGTTGCTAGTGGGTTATATTAAGCTCGACAGAAATATAGAAAGCGTTGTGTATCCTATTGGTTTGCATGCGAGCCGGGCGGGTAATGTTCTTCGAACCAAATTTATAAACTACTGAATTAATGGTGATTATGTTTAACAATTTCGACAAATAGAATAAAACAACCTTTAGGTTGTTTTATCTGTTTAGGGATTCAAACGATGAGCTTTGACCATGAATAGGCAACATTTGTAAAAAGCAAGCGCGTAAATCACAAATAAAAATTACATGATGCGTTTCACCTCATGGATGGGCGAATAAATGCTCCAAATAATAAAACTGCATCTTTTCCTCACCGTTTGTGTTTGACTATTTCCATGCAGGTTTCTGGTCGGTTTCCTTTAATGGCAGAGTCCAAACATCCTTTGCCGAACGAAGACTTGTTTTTGACATCAGCTCCTCGGTCCAGTAACAGTCGAACTATGCGGGCGTGACCAAAATGGGCTGCCAGGTCAATAGGTGTTGTCTTGGATACAATGAACATATGAAGGTGTTGTCTTATTGCAAAAGAGCCATAAAAAATGGGGAAAAATAACAGATACGGTCTGTTTGTTTGGAAGCCTGGCATATCAACTCCGCCCACGCTCGTTTAAATCGCAATGATAGTGGCTTACCACCCAGTGATGACTATTTACACCTCGTCAGAAAAAAGGGCTGCTGATTAGTGAACACATGGAAGGACCTCTTGTTGCAGTGATTAGATCACCCCTGATGAAGGCACTAGATAGGAGTGTCGAAAAGTTGGGGTCTATGAATTGTAATTCCCCGGTTACATTCGTTAAATCCTTAAACCAGAGTAGCATCAAACCATGTCAGAAACAATCTTTCAATAATCCAACAATCTGCGATTGAAATATATACTTTAAAAGAGGTGCATCACTTGTACTTCAATTTACTTTTACGCCTTTAATTTTTTTGTCTTCATAATCAAGAATTGAAGAGGATGTTACCTTACCCGATTTTTGGAACATGCTTCAAGTTTTGCGCCGTAATCCAAGAGGAGAGCCGCTGTATTGTAATGGTTTAATCTTGTTGCTATTATAAGCGGAGTCAGATGATTTTCGTCCCTGAAATTAACCATATTATATATTATCGTTTGCTAAAGATGAATGTTTCCTTAACAAAGGTTACTCGACGAAAAGCCTAGGACTGGTAAGATAACAATGGATTGAAAATGATTTACATGAAAAATGTTTGCAAAGTTTTTCAAGACGCACAAATTGGTCATCCTGAATCTAAGCACATTCTTACCTTTGATCGGGGTTAGCTCCCTTATCAAGCAAGAACTTTGCCAGTTCAAAGTGACCTTCGTACGCTGCATAATGTAACGGAGCTCTGAGACGGTATTCTGTGCTACTAAGAGTCTTTGGATCGGCTTCTAATAACACTTTCACGCAAGCTAGGCTACCACTCCTGCGAATAAAACGCCGATCATCGATTATCTCATCAGTTGTCTATCTACACAGCGCCTTGTGGCATATGAAGCCTTCAGAGAGCACCTTTACAAATCAATCGGTCACCTGCTAACTAAGGATGTCCCTCCCGTACCGTTAAACTGGTATTTCGATTGACATTGAGTGCCATACTTTCTTTAGGGACTGTATCAAGCAGAATTTTATTAGCCATAACCTGTTCAGCCACTAATTCAATTGAGAACAAACAAAAAATGAACAATCAACGAAAAACCACAAAATATTCAATCAAGTAAGATAGATCTCGCGTTAGCTCAATAACAGTCGCCACTTACTCGGTAGCCATATGTACTGGAATCTTTTCTTCTTCATCTTTTATATCTATACTTGCCCCTGCTTTAAGTAACTTCTCAACAATCTGAGGAAGAAAAAAAAACAATTTAGACGAGGAGGCACAAACAATAACCCTGCTAAGAAAGTAGGAAAAATTTTCACCGGAACATGTACCGCTACATCAGAATGAGAAAAGAGACAGGAAACACTATATAACACTCTGTAGTCGAACTTTCAATTTGCAATCTCTCAAAATTTCAATGCAAGTCCACGAGGTCGCTTACAACAGCCCAGATGGAGCAATTTTCAATTGCGTGTCGAAAGTAATCCTGCATTGCACTAGTTTTGCTATACTTCGCTCTGTGATTGGTCCAGAAAACTCGCGCCACTTTCTCAGCCAATCACGTGCGAAACGGCTAAAACCGTTCTCCCGCGCTTTGAGCTGTTTGGTTTTTTCTCACTGGCTCTTAAGGGTATTTTCCTTTCTTCTGATCGGCCGTTAGGATCATTTTGGTTTGGATTTAACGATACTTAATCGAGAAGCGCTCTAAGGTCGCCTGGGAGAGAGCACCGCTGGTTCTGCGGGGTCTCAACTGTTGTAATTCGACCAAAAAAAATTTTTGCGAAAACAATCACTACAGAGAGGTGGTCGCTTAGGAACGTCTGACTGGATGCCTGCGACTGCAGTAAACCTATATTTTTCTCCTACCTGAAGGCTTCCTTTCGCTGCAGCGTAGTGTAGCGGTGTCCTGTTATCCCTGTCCAAGCTGTCTATCAGACACATACCGCCGTTCTGAAAAACAAGACATTCTGCTCTCCTTAATACTTTTCATGGGCATATTTCTCAGTAAATCTGCCTTCCGATGTAATATAGCTATGCATATGCTAATGAATTATAAGCTGTTCTTTTCTTCAGCGTCTTGACGGTTTTCTTTTAGTAACGGCGAGAGTCACTGGAATCAGGAAGTTTATTCAAAAGATCGAAACATTATACTCTTTATGTTCTTTACTCCTTTGAGACATATTCTATACCCTCGATCTGTTGTTACTCGATTTCAAACTGTCATCCATAATTCTTGTAGTGAGACGTATTTTTCTTCATTGCAAATTTGTTCTGATCGAGTCAGGCGACCGACTTAGAAAAGGTTCTCTTGCCTCTCTATCATGGCTAAGAGAACATTAAACAAGACGGGAGTTCCATCAAATCAACACAATAATGAATAAGCTCTGACGAAGGGCTAACGCTCGAAACGTCAGCTTTTTAACCCTTTACGGTGGCCAATTTACAATTTCAACTTATTTGATATAACCAAATTACCTTGTTACCTCCACCGACGCAGCACCACAGTTTCTTTAGAAACTTTCAGCCTTTACAATAATGAATATTTCAGGTCAAGTGATTTAACTTTCATTCTGGTCATGTTCGCTTTGTATTTTCCTTACAAAAGCTTTTATTATGGCTTGCTCGTAGCTTCCTTCACGTCTTGTTTGCTTTCTAGCTACGTTTTGGTCTAATGGAAAAGCGATTCCTTGGGCGACTCTGGTTTTCCTTCGGTTAGCTGTTACTAAATGAATTTGTAGTGCTTTAGTCATGGAAATAACTCTGATTCCGGTCATTCTTTAGATGTAAGTATTTCCTTCCCAAGACCGACATAAGAAGGCCTGCAAAGCTATGACATACCTCAAGAATTATGTCAACAGTGTCTGCATTGGCACTATAGGCGGCGACATGAAGGCAGGTTCTTTGGTGGGCATCTCTCAGATCTATCGGTGAACCGCGTTTGATCAGGAACACAGCGGCTTTGTGATGTCCTCTTTTAACAGCACACATCAGTGGGGATGGCGCCGTGGAGTCTGGCAATGGACAGATGGCTGCTCCCTAGGGAAGGCCAGGTTACACGGAATAGGTCAGATATTAAAGGAACGACAGCGGTATTATGCCTTAGGAGGGAGGAGAGAGTACTTTCTTTGATTGACCATACAAAGATATCCAGCTACTTATTCACGCCCCACCCCTCCCCTAGCGAAAGGGGTACGCCCCACCTCTTCCACCATCGACAGGGGTACATTTGCCAGGCTGAAGGGAAGTGGAGGGTAATCACGTTACGAGTTTATACTTATTTACGAAAACTGATATCCTTTTCAGTATGATGAGTTTTTAAAAGGGCTGGAACGTTTAATTCACAAGGATCCCATTAAAAAGAGATAGAATACTAAAACTGGCTCTTCGTATTTCGCTGAGTCACCTTATTGATGAGATGTTCAATGATTTCTACGTGGCCGGACAAAGAGGCCCTGAAATCAAAAACGAGAAACAACTTTTAACTCCTCGTCGCTTATATCATTGACAGAGTTGAATGATCGTCGACGTTTACTTGCAACAAAAACAAGACTCCTTCTTATTTGTCTTGATTACTGCATGTCTTAACATACGTCATTCACCCACAGTCACAAAATCTTCGAAAAAAGAATCAGACTTAATATTTTTATTCGTAAATTATCCCTCGATGAAAAAGATGCCAGCCACTTCAATCTGTAAATATGTGTTTATCACCAACTGAAAGTGGAGGTCCTATACAAGTGTATGTCACCCGTTAGCAGCTTATGATAATGATATAATATGCACTTGGACCTATTGTACATTAACATATGTACGGAACTACACTAGCCCAAATTCAGAAAATGCGACCGGACCACAAGGCGAAACAAATCACGTTTATACTCAGAACAGCTGCGTTTTGAATTTACACGCGTTAAACAGCGACAATACTACTCTTATTTAAAACATAACAAAATAACTGACGCCAACAATAATCATTAATTTGATTAAACATACAGGAGATTGGTATAATTGAATCCCTTGATTCATATAATTGGTAAAAGGTTTGTAGCAATACAGAGCATGTCTGTGACGATCTCTTTGTTATAACTGAATCCTTTTAATTTTTTGCGGACGGGAGAGAAAATGTTAACATATTTATTTACACCGGCAGAAGGTTGCCGCTTAAGAACCATCATTTAGGAGTATCGCTCAAATGTTTCCTGACAAGATCCGTGGCTTTTATGTGAATAATACGAAACAATTCCCTTTACAAAATTATGGCCCTCCACAGTGCGTGAACAGAGGTCAGAGATACTTAATTATATCATTTTGTCGATCATCACATCCCTCTCCGTTGTCAGTCCAGCTAATTAGCATGAGGAAAACAGAAACTTGGAAGCTTCCCGCCAATACTATACAATATTGTTGCAGCTTCTCATAGAGTAAGTCTCCTGTAATTGCCATAGTGAAGAAAACAGATGGCAGCTGAATTAGGTGCTCAAGCTATGGAGAGAGTAAACTAGATCTAATTCTCAGGCCTTGAGAAGTTTCTAGGCGTAAACAATTTAGGTGGCTGAGTTTGCCCAAAACGAGGTACGAAGGCGCTTTTCACCAACGATACCGCTTTGCCATCGAAATTCAATCGTTTGATTTGATGTTTCAGTCGCATATTCATATCCCTTGTGAGCACAAACCCCACACAAACATCGCCGTACACGTTGCATATCTGTACAGCTTGAATAAGCGTTTCCACTTTGAACGAGCACATTCGTCGTTTCTCCGAATTGGAGCAGGAAAAATCTCCGTAAACGTCAATTGTGGTTTTCCTTAGAACCACATAATTGTGGAGGTTGGCTTTGTTTTGAAACCTTGTTATATTTCCCTCGAACCAGTCTTCACGACTACTTATTTTGGAATCGTATTTTTCAGTAGAATTGTCACAGGCAGTATAGCTTAGTCTGATGATGTACCACCCTCCAAGAACACAGAGAAAGATAATGAACTTGAAAATGGTTTTCCTCCTGAGAATAAATCTTTTATCCTGCCCGTGGCTCTGATGAAATACCATTCTGAAACTTTTTGGTGTTTTGGATAAGATTGAAAAGATTCTTTACAGAACAAGATCAACAACATCGATAACCTTCTTCGTCGAAGTAATTATAGCAGCAAGAAAGAGCTAGAGCGCTCCACAATCAAACGCATGGTAAATTATTCATAATGTAAGCTGTGAAGATTGAGTACATCTGAATAGAGTTGTCAATAAATTATTACTTACAAAATAAAGAACAAAACATAACGCTTTTAAAATTTCTCATTATATTTCACTGACTGCGAAGAATTGGAGCTACGCTCTGTTAGGCGGGAGTCCTTACGAACCGCATCCAGTGCATGATACAACGACACCATATTGAAAGGTGACGGAGAAAAATTGGTTAGATTTCAAGAGGTATTGAAACGCTATGTCTGATTAGGATCAGTACACAAGCTACAGCTATTTATTATTTTTCTCATTTTACAGATCAATGGTCAGTGATTAGCAAAACGTGCATGTGAAGGTGTATAGTAGCAACAGCATAGCAACATATACATGGAGTCGGTTCTCAGTACATGATAAGCACCTTCAAATCAAACAATTTCATATTGGACGCACACAGCGCGACGAGGGAAAGCGAAGACCTGACAATTACGCACGATTCAGTGTCGCAACTTCTCACCGCATTGAACACCCGAAGAAAAATATCTTTTTCTCTCTCTTCTTGATAAATACAGTTAATTTTCTCCTTAAGTACCTGAGTATTGGTGTCATTCCTTCGTAGTCCTCCTCGTCGACGTGAATTAAATCTTGCGACAGTAGAAACTTCACCATAGGTAGGTTACCCGTAGAACTTGCCACATGGAGTGGAAGGTTTCGTTTGGTCTAAGAAAATCAAATTTAACAATGCGGTCTTAGTCGACACCCGATGAATTGAATTCTCATTGTTTTGTTTTGATACCTGTTTTTGTTTTCAATTTTTTTTTTTCACTGCATGTTATTTTTTTTTTCGATTGCTTATTAACCGGTGATACTAAAAAAGATACGAGTAATTCCCATAGTGCTCCAGGGCATCGGTTATTTTGCTGTTTTTCTCCTAATGAACTTATCGCAGGAATCATACAGAACAATGGATCGTGCTATCCACCCAGAATATTAATTCAACACCCCACTTGATTATTACTTTAAAGATTCGTTAGCTCGTTCAGTTTGTCTTTTTTACTTGATTGTTACTGGAATAAATTAAGCTTTTACACTACCATATTTGTAAATATAGGTGTACTGATAGGTTTTACGTGCTGCAATAGGGGCCACTTTCCCCCAAGCGCCGAGGGGGCATGATTTATATTTGTCGCCGTGGCGCACCACCAAAAGTCAACATTTTTGGCAAGTTCTGTTGCTTTTTAGTTACGTGCACAAGGGTCACACTGTGGTTGCTTAGAACTGCTTCTCCAGTGTATGATATTTGATTGAACCAACTTTCATGTCATTTTGTCTAAATTTTGTTGATTAGTATGTAAATTGAAATAAAACTGAGCAATCCGCTTACCACAGTACGGGGATCTGCGCCATATTCGATGCAAACAATCGCTGCCTAGACGGTGTGCAATCATTCAAGAAACACATCAGTTACTTTAAATCAGTGTTTTATAGGAGTATTTATCATTTACGATTTTTTCTAATTCAACCACTAAGATTCATGATCTCGTGGCTTCCACCACCGAGAGTTCACCATTTAGAATTCAATCGCAACTGAGGTAACGATAATTATTTCACTAAAACCGTGCAACCAATCTCAAAAGTCAGCCGTGAACGAAGACGACAACAACACAAGCACCTAACAACGACAATAACATCAACGTCAACGATAAGAACAACGATTAATGGGCACAACTGCTGTAACAACCAACGAATAAAGGAGATAGATTTCTAAAGAAATTATGGTGCTACGTCGAGGGAGTAACAAGGAAATTTTGGTTTTATCAACTGAGTTAATAATGGAAATAAGCGAAGGACAAAGGGCTAACGCTCGAAACGTCAGCTTTGAAACTCTTGACGGTGGCCAGTTTACATCACTAACGTAGTTGAGAAAACCAAAGTTACTGTTGTAACAACAACAACTTTATATTTATAGCCACGACGGCAAAAAACAAGATCAGCCAAAACAGAGAAAACAAGAGCATGAAAATAGCAGCGTAAGGGAAAAGACAACTTTGAAAACAACAACAACAACAACAAAGACATGAACAACATTATTTTCGTATTTACCTCTACATGTCCACCATCCACTGCCAAATGTAAACAGCTCTTTGACTCAAAATTTTCACTGTTTAAGAGATCCTTGCAAGATATGCCGTCCAATGATGCTGAAAATTATAAATAATTGCTCAGTATCCTATCAATCACCTACGTCATCGATTTGTTCAGAACAGCCCCTAGCGAAAAACAGGTCAGTTTATCAGCCTGAAAACAACTGGATCTGAAGGTGCGTTCGAAGTGTACTTCAAGAGAACCTGATAACAGAACGTGGAGTTCACATAAAGAAACCATCCCCAGACCCTTAGACTAGTACTCTGCGCTCCTATACTCTACGCATGTCTGATCACCAGGATTCATAGAGCCGGATAAAATTCTAATCCTTCAAAATCGAGCCCTTCGCTTAATGTACTTTGGTGACTACAGATCTCATGCCATCCCGTTTTTTGTTTCTTCTCGTTTTCTTCCTTTGGATATGCTTTACTTTAAATCAGTTGCCATCATGATGCATGACATATCCAATAATTTGTCACCTTCTAACATATCTAACTTATTCACTTATCAAGCTAATATTCATCCCCATAAGACAAGATCATCTTCAAGAGGCGACTATTTTGTTGAAAGTTCAAGATTAGATATACAAAAAAGGGCATTTTCAAGAAATGGTGTTAGAATCTGGAATAGCTTGTCTTGTGAAGTGCGCCAGCTATCAAAATACAACTTTAAGAGTAAAATTGATGATTTCCTCCTCCAGAGACTCGAAAAATATGACGATTATATTGATTTGTATACTTTAATAGTACAACTATAAGATCCCAGCTTGTTCTGTTTCCTTGCCGTATCTTAAATGTATTAATGTAGTTGTAATTTGTCTAGAATTTTGACAGAATCTCTTGCTCTGTAAATCTTTTTATTTTATATTTTATAACATACGTATCAAACATTGCCCGCCTCGACTAGCCTTTGCTAACTGCGGGCAGTGCATATTTTTGTAATATTGTAATATTGTAATATATCATTAAACTATCATTAAACTATCATTACACTATCATTAAACTAAACATTACTAGGTTTAAATGTGACACGCATGCTACATACTAGTGGGATTAGCGACATCAAGTTCAAACGGAAATTTTTCATGTTTTTTTTTTTATTTTCTGAAAGGTCACTCCTCTTTTTGTGTCTGAAAATTCTCCCAGGGTTTTTCATACAACGGAAAACATTCGAGGAAGTGTCGTTATCGGAAAGCGGAGAAAGAATAAGAAGTTTCATAGCACCTCTTTGAAGAAGATGCTTCAAGGCCTCATCTCGTCCCTCTCTAGCTGCAATGTGTACCGCTGTATCACCTTCGTCATTTTGGGTGCGTAGATTAGCTCCGTGTGTTAACTGGCGAAAGGAAAACAAATTTATCACAAAAGGCAAAACAGAAAAGCAAAAGAAAACGAAAGAGAGATATTGCGGAAAATTATTGACCCGGAAAAGACAGGATCATACTGGATACATGTAGGTAACCCTTGGAGAGAACTACACTTGAAAGCGCCTAACTTACAAGCATTTTGATGATATCCAGTCGTCCTCTTTGCGCAGCTAGATGCAGGGCTGTAAAGTGTAGGTTATCATGAGAATTCGGATTTGCTTTTCCTTTGGTCAACAATATCTGAAAAAGAGTCGGTTGAAAGACTATTGATACAACTTGGCCAATTATTTTTTATTACCACACCTTACTCATATTATTGTATGACAGCTTACTCATATTATTGTGTGGAAAGACTGATATAATAAAAAAAAAGGTGCGTCAAAAATGCCAAAATCGCAATGCCGAAAATAGATTTTGGTGCCCGAAATGAGGTGGGACCGTCCAAAAACTAATGCAGGTGTCCGAAATCGGACAGTACAGATCTGATCTGTGAAACCTGCGACGTATACATAGAAAACCCTCTAGATAAAAACAATGCTCAAAATTACAAGTTTATTAAAGAACAGAGCTGACCTTAACAAGTTCTACACTGGCACGTGTGACAGCAAAGTGAAGAGGCTTTTGTCCAAATACAGCGCTGCATTCCACGTTAGATTTGTTATCGATGAGAGCGTTTACTGCTTCAGCTGTGTCATACCAGCTCGCAAAGTGCAATGGAGACAGCAATTTGTTTTCCATAGTTGCTGTTACATTAGGGTCTGTTTGAAAAACAAGGAAGTCTACGATTAGGAAGAATTTCTTCGTTCTTTGTCTCCTGCACAGACTGAGCCGTCGCTCCTTTTCGGAAAAGTCCGTGGCACGATTCCGAACACAATATCAGCGAAAAGAAAATTGATTTTAGAGCGCCTTGGGGAGTTTTAGGAGTAAGGCATATCATTTACTCTTAGAGCTCCTCGAGATGCGCTGACATCAAGTTAAAAGAAAGTTATGATTGCTGGAGATTCTGTTCTCAAGTACCTTCAAGGCCAT